CCCAGGTAACCAGGTCTCCTGTTTCATTCTGTTTAACTATATCTGCATTAGAAAGCAACCCCAGCCCTGATATATATATAAAAACAAATATATCTTAAAAAGAGAGAGAGAGAACACACACATGCAGGAGAGAGTGCAGGAGCCTTAAGCAGTAGAATGGAATTTAAACACAAATCGAAGGAACCAGCTGCCCAGCTCTTATAGACGCAACTTCAAATGTTGAAGTTCCATAGTTCATATACCTATTCAGGACAAGGCTTAAAAATGGTGCTAGCATTTGTAACAAAAAAAAAAAAAAAAAAAAAGACAGTAGCAATTTAATAGCACTTCTGACATTAGGAAAAAAGTTTATTATGGAATAAACCAGTAAGAAATATTGTTCCATTATGCAATTTGTTTCCAGTGAAATCAAATTCTACCACTGCTGGCATCTTTACATTTAACGGAAATACGAGAGATCAATTACAAAGTCACTCAGTGGCACTAACTTTGACAAAAACAAATAGCTCAGTTATATTACGTAGAACAGATTATAAGCATAACTTTAATAAGCTGCAACTGCACTGCAGCTGCAAGACATTGAACAAAGTGCCACATTAATTATCTTTTTGGAAAAATTTATCATAATACAAACTTTAGACATTACAGTTACCAGCAACATTCTGCTAAGAAAAAAAAGGCTGCACATTCTTCCAACTTACAGTTTGAAAATCTAAGCTATTGTAAACCTAAAGAGTTTAGAAAGTCTTGCACCCTCTTTCTGAACTAAAATATATATAATATAGATAGTATTTTACATATAGTATTTTATACATAGTTGTCTTCACATTGTAATTAAACAGGCAAAATTTACATTTTTATTTTTGTGCCAAAGACTTAGTTCCAGACTCTAGTTTGAAGCTCCTGTAGCACTGTGAACAGAAGATGGGGAATCATGATCAGATAGAAAGGAAACCATGGCAGCAGCTGCTTCAGGAAGCACGGGTGCAAGCACATGACGACAAACTGGGCATGTTCCCGACTACAAAAAAAGAGGAAAAAACCCAGGTCATCTGCACGGTTTGCACTGAATTCTACTGAAAAGCTAAAGGTTATTATTTACAAAGTATTTAATGTTTTCACAACATCAATGTCTCAAAGTCAAATTTGACTGGGTGGCTACCTGGAGCTAAGAGACAGCTAACAGTCCCAGAAGAAAGCTTTGTTTTGCTTTTACACTAGTTACACAGCTGATACATCAGGGTCTCTGCAAGGTCTTCTTCAAAGAATTGATTTTACAGGTGGGAATTTTTTTTTGAGGCAAGCATTAAATATAAACTAGGTACAGCCCAAATCTAACAGGAAGTATTTTGTCCTAGTTTTCAGTAAGAGCAGTTTACCATGACAGCAGAAAAAGGCAAGACATATAACACAAGCAATATCAATGTGGTAATCAACACTATCAAGGTGAAAAAAAATTATAAACCCACGCTAGAGGTGTTCTGATCTCCCTAGTCTGAATCAATTAATCTTCCCCTTGTACCTCTTGAGGAAATGATGTGTTACACTGTAGGCTCACTGAGAACTAGCAAGTCCAGGCTCATGTTATAACTCATCCATCTCTTTCATTCTTACTAAAAGCAGACCATGTTTTTTCCTCACAAAAATACCCCCTCTATTCAAGAAATTGCCCTTCAGGTGAGTACAGATATAAATTACTTTCCTCACTTGCATGAGAATTTGGTTCCATAATGCATAAAATTAACAGCCAGTTATTTCTTGGTATTTCATCCCACATTTTCAAAAAGCTACAAACTGTTCTTCCCAGAAGAATGCAAATACTCAAAAACCACAGAAACCCCACCAATCCTGTAGTACTTACTTTCTCCAACCAAAGAGTTACACAAGGTTTGTGAAACAAATGATGACAGGGTAGCTCTGTTATGATTTCATCTTTCACATATTCACTGCAACAGATAGTACAACACTGCTCTTGACCTACACCCATGATGAAGAAAAAGCATTATTATTATTATCTTGTTTTACATCTAAGATGAGATGAAATTAAAATACATAATCAACAGTATCACTAATGATTACAAAATACAATCACACTTTCTCCAGTAAAGGTTAGTTTTCCAAACTGACCAAAGTTATATTCAGTCTGACTCAAGATTCAAAAGCTCTTGGAACAGCATTGCCAGCTGCACAGTAAGTATGTTTAAATACTGCATCTATGGTACTACAGAAAGTTAAATTTGTTCTTATAAACTTTGTGGAAATTAATTATTTTTCCATACCATCATGGTCATCTGTGATGATAATCTGTGGCAGACAATCTATGGTTTCTTTAGTAGCTGGTGGATGAGCCTGTTCAACATCAAATCCAAGAGACTCCAAATGTACCAGAACAGTCTGAAAAGGATGAGCAGAGACTAAGTTCTCATTACTCAAAATGTTAACATTCCATATAAAAAACAAATAAGCAAGAAAAGGAATCCAATTCTAATAGTATTACTTTCTTAAATGGAAGTTACGTCTGTCAGACTAACCATTACATCATTTTCATTTTCTTAACAAATGAGATGAAATTGAAGGTCAAAACAGTAACAGCTTGTTTTTTAAGCCTTCTTAAAGTATCAGGACAGAGTCACAACTTACTCTCTATTGGACATTTGTTCATTTTATAAAGTTTCTGAAAAGTCGAAAATGTAATAAGCTTTGCTAATACAAAACTGTCATTATATTTCACTTTCTGAAAAGAAAAGCCTCATTAATGTGTTTCCTAGCTTCAACTATTGAATTACTCAGGTACAAACAAAAATATTAAGTACCTCAGCTACGCTACCACTGTAAGCTCTCAGAAAAAAAACAGGATCCACATAGATGTTTCTCATCTGTATAATGACTTAAGACAGACATAATGCTCTGAAGTCATCTTGTTTGAAAATTCAGTTTCTCACCGTACAAAATCTTTAAGACTCCAATGCTACAGCAGGCAGATTTGATGTTTACATCATACATTCATCCCCATAAGACATTGAAAGGATCTCCAGTAGGAAAAAATGCAATGCAGAACTCAGATTGGTTACATACACTAAGAAATGTACTAGATATACCTGCTTGAAGAGCAAAACAAACTGAAACTGAAGAGCCAAGAACACAGAAGCACTGAGTTCATATCCTGAATGAACTAGTCACACCCCTCAAGTACAACTATTTACTGCTCTAATCAGCATGAAAATTATTTATTCTAATGGGCACAAAACTCCCTTGGTAAGAAGTTTAAGATAACCTGGCTTTTTTTGTCATGGTGGGGGTACACAATCAAAAAATCAAAAATATATTAAAGAAACATTAGATTATATACAAACATCTTCAGGAGTCTTTCCCCTTAGAGAAAGTTACTACAGCTGCAGCCTGAAAACATGCCAGTACTTTTATTGCAGTGGCAAGGTAGCTCAGGCAACCATCCCACCACAGATCTAAACTAGCAGGTTTACACCTACAGTCAAATGTTTGTGGCAGCAAAGAGATCAGCATGAGCTAACAGACAAATATTTACAGCTCCTACTGCCACACTCACCTAGAAATTTGCTAATTTAAAGGATATCCTGGGACAGTTATCCCTAGTGCAGTATGCAAGTCCACCTGCAACACAGGTACACTCCTCCAATTTAACAGCTTAAAAACATTCAATTCTGCTACAGCAGACAATATAGCCTTACTAAGATTAAGGTGATTTTAATATTTGTAATGGTATTTTGCTACAGCTGCAACAGTCTGAGAATAACTTGTAGGTAAAAATACGATGCTTCATTAGATTAACTACTACAGCTGGAAAAATTAGGTAAGATCCCAGGCAGACAGAAGGACATAATATTACCTATGTGTCAAACCTCTGTGTCTATATCCAGTATTACTACTCTCAAACAGAAAACAATTTACAAAAGCATTGTATTATTTGCTTTTGAAAGCTACACAAAAGAAATACCACAGACAGAAAGCCTTACAATGACTTTGAGGCTTAAAACCACATCTTCAAAACCAAAGCAGAGCAAAGAAGTGTCCATTTTACAACTTTTGTAAGATACCTTTTAACTTCAAAGATACCTTTATTTCCTTCCTCTTATTACTTGTGCGACTGCTCCACGTACCATAAACCAAATGCTGGACACTGCTAAAAACAGGAGTGCTATAGCCTAGAGGGTTTGAGCTCCTGATTCACATCTATGAACCAGCACAGGAAGTATTCATAAATGAAGTCACTGATGCTGCAGAGACACCCCACCTGTTCTATACTGCTAATGAAGTAAAGCAAACACTCCCAGCTAATAACTTCCTTAAAACAAATAGAAGTAAAAAAAAAAAAAAAAAAAAAAAAAATATCACACATATAGGTTATTACATTTTAGGATCCCAGAGCCTTACAGAACATAGCTTTTTTTAAAAAAAATTAATGTATTCACTACTTTTCCCCTCCAAATGTCACAATGAATTGGGACAGATCTCTCACACCCCCGCCCCCAAATTAAGATACACTTGAATTCTGGATGCATTATCACATTACATCCCTTTCAAGTGTTTCATAACTACAGTAAATTAGTTTGCTGGATAGAGAAATTTTTGGAAAATTTTCTGAGCTATAATAGACTCTCGTAGTACATTACATTGTTACAGGTGAAAAAGATCTGGTTAATGAATGTATTATTTCAGATACGAGAATTTTGGGAAACTTAAGGAGGTGGATTAAGTAAATCAGTAACAGGTTGAATAAAGTCACAGTCATTAGACAGATTATTAATGATGTTATAATTAAACTCAACCCAATCTGTTCATCAAATCAGAATAATACTTAAAGTTAGTCAAAGCTCAGACTTCTCTGTAACAAACCTCTGGTGCAAAAATACTTATTACCAGGAAGCAGATGGGTTACTTTTTAAACTTGAAGCAAAAGCAGAGGTATGTTGCACTCATAAGGTAGAATCAGACTAACTGAGATTCAAGTAATAGCTGTTTGCCCTAAAGCCAGATCTAAATAATACTAAAATAGCGTAACTGGCAACAAATAGCCTGTTAGAAAGCTGAGTATAAATATATAGATAACATGTAACTGCAAAGTGGCAAACCAGCTTGAGGTATAGTTGTTCAAACAGAGAAAGAAAACACACAAGCATGCAGTAAGATCTGGAAGGTGAGAACAAAAGTCATAGAACAAGCAAGAAAGGTATCTGGTGAAACTGAAATCTAATCATCCTGTAGAAAAATGCCTAGCAAAACCAGAAAAAGTCCTGATCCCCAAAATAAGATGAACTTTTTCAAGAACAGATGAAATCACTTCCTCTAATCTTGGGGAGAGGGATGAGGAGCATAAAATACCAAGAGAAAGAAAAACAACTAGCTTCATTTCTCACTTCCCTCAAAGATCTCTCAAGCCTGATCACCTTGACTCCAGTTACTAAGATACCCCTTTCAGTGATCTCTAACTCTTTACTTGATATATATATATATCAAGTTGCAACAAACTACAGAACAAAAATTACTACATTACAAACATTTTCTATACACCCTCTATAAATGGAAAATCAGAAATTGCATTTTCTAGCAGAAAGCAAAGACATTTTCAGCAATCTCTCTTATCCAAACTTGAAAAGTTAGTCCAGTTTGGTCTCTGCATCACAAAAGAAACCTTTTTTTTTTTTTAAAGAATTTTTCTTCCCTGAAAATGCTGCATGCCACATTTTGGATATCTGAGCAAGCACTGTGACCACAGTACCAAACATAAGGAAAAGGCTTTGTAACACTGAGATATTTGCTATTTCAAGGAAAGATTTTACATTTTTTAATTTGTGGAACAAATCTTCATCTTCATCTACAATTGTCTGACAACCAGGAAAATTGTGTTTAAAGGCTGTTCTGAACGTCCTTCCACGAACACAAGTTTCTAGTCTATATTAATTCAGTCAGGGACAGAGTAACATCATATTTTGTTAAGAGATAACACTGGACTAGCCATTCGCAAGTCCTATTTTTTAGAATGCAGAAGACATTATACCCTGATCCTGTCTATATCTTGCTGTGGTCATTAAAAGATAGGATCTCAGCAACCAATTAAAATTAATTCTGGCTAAATAGACATTACAGAGCCTTTTTTTGCTCACTTTGTCTCAACTTCAGAAATACTTGCAATATTGCCTAAGAGAAATGTTGAACAGTTTTGGTAATCCTTGCTCTTATTTTCTGAACAATTTTAGTAACCATCTTCACACTGGAGAGAGAAGTGCTCTATATATTCTGCTTGAGATTTGGAGGAAATACTCGGAATTCTTACTCAAAACCTCTGTTGTCCATTTAGTCATGGTCAATACAGCTGTTCCTTTTATTACTCAGTGACCATTTTCTGCTGACTAATTCCAATTATGCCAGACTTCTATGCCCACTGTAAAGTTTGAGACACCTAAGTGCTAATTTCAAGCACAAATACTATTTAAGAGAATTGGCTTTCCCTCTTGTCCAACACCCACACTGACCTCTACCACAGGTACCAGAGAGTAACTACCTTTGTAGTCATCTACCTGCTTGCCAAGTGTGTTCAATGACACTCCATTCCTGGTGACACTAACATAATTACAGCATCTTCTCAGCCAGCTATGCACACAGCCACCTAGGATTGCTTTTACAGGTCAAGCCTGACAAGAGTGCACACATTTCTTTCGACTGAGTAACTAGGGAAATGTTGTTACACAGTAATGAGAAAGAAAAGCTCAGAGCCATAACAACATCAATCTCTTCAAGTGTTAACATAGATTAAAAAAAAGAAAAGATGGGATTAGTTTCCCCTCTCTACAAAGACCCTCTTGCTTTGGTGCAAAGGAGGAGGTCAACTGCCTCTGTAGTTCTGTCCTTTTTGAGGTAGTAAGAACCAACGGCTATGAAAGAGACAAGGAATTTTCTCTATACTGCTTCACAATATTCCTTTTATAGTAAGGGTATCAACAGACCTCATACACATTAACAAGCAGTTTTGAAGTGTCTCCAGATAAGTAATGCTAACGAGATCCTACACAGCTGGAGAAGACCCTATGGTACTTGATCATGAATAATGCTGACCTCCCATATACCTTGGGGGATGCACAATACCTGGAAATTGAATGACTGCCAACTTCAGGGAACAACCCTTCCACTCCCTTCGAAAATCCCCATGAAGTTTAGTCACACAATCATTGATTTTGCACATATCCATGGAACAATCACAGATATCACTGACTGCCAGCTTTAGAAAGCATTTTAAAACATCCTTGGTATTTTGTCTGCAAGCACACTATGACATACAGTCTGCCCCGTTCACCCCTTTTAACTAAGAGCCAGTAGTCAAACTGCCCCTTGATGCCCCTAAACTTATGTCACACACAAAACATTCAATTTAATTGTTATAACACCATATTATATGTCTACACATCATTTAACTCTTATTTTGACAAATACCCTGCAGGGGAGATTTCTGGCAGTGCAAGAATTGCCGCTTTGCATCGAAGTGAATTTTAGCTAGCTCCATATTCACTCTGACAGTGACCAACATCATGTAGCACAGAAAAGACAAAGATCATAACTATGCTTGTTCTTGATAACAAATGCTCTGGTTTATCCAAAGATGAAATGAGATTAGAGCAAGGTAAAGATAAAAGGCTTTTTTGCTTTTGGGTGTGGCTTTTTTTTTTTTTTTTAATTTAAAACACATTGAGTCAAGACAGTCAAAGACAGAAAGTCTTCTACTGAGGAATAAAAATATGAGACATCCAATTGTTCTCTGGCAAAAAAAAAAAACCTGGGACAATTCACAGGCACAGATCCAGCTATTAACTTTCCTTTGTATCTCTTTTTCCTTTAAGAGAAAATAAATACATATTCTACTAAAAGGAGTAGCACTGATCAATGACTTCTTGCACTACATCATTTAAAAGAACTTCCGACATTTGTTTTCAAGCTTGCAGACCTGAAAGTTCAAGCTAAAACAGGAAAGCAATTTTTTCCCTGATTGTCCTGATTTTCAGATTATGCTGAAAAAGGACTCAATAATAAAAACTTACGTCACAACATCACTGATATAATACCACCAAGAATATTTTAATACCTCCATAGCTTGCAGTAAGCGTCCCTCTAGTGCCATAAATGTGAGAAGCTGAGGATCCACATAAGGAATGGCTTGAGCAAGTCCTAGGCCATCACCAAACTCATCAAGTAGTCTGAAAAACATGAGTTAGGAAACATGGTCTTCATTTCAAAGTAAATAGTAATAACATAAGGGCTGGGTACATCAAATTACTGCACATCACCTGTTAACAAGTGTGTGTGTATACTCTCATGAGGCAGTTGTGTTGACCTTGGCTGGCTGCCAGAAACCTATCCAGCTGCTCTCTCAACTCCCCCACCTCAGCTGGACAGGGGTATAAATAAGACTAAAAGCTTGTGGGTCGAGATAAAGACAGGGACACCACTCACCAATCACCATCCCAGGCAAAACAGTCTCAACTTAAGGGGAACCTTAATTTAACTGAAAGGTTGAACCAGATGATCTTTTGAGGTCCCTTCCAATCTGGGCTGTCCTACGATTCTTTGAATTTATTGCCAATAAAAATGGATTTGGATGGTGGGAAAGAGACAAAAACTAAACCACGTTGCCCTTAGCCCTCCCTCTCCTCCCAGGCTCAACTTCACTCCCTCATTCCTGACTCCTCTATGTACCCCCCAAGCAGTGTAGAGGGACGAGGAATGGGGGTTGTGGTCAGTTCATTGCAGTTCCTCTCTACCACTCCTTCCTCCTCACACTGTTCCCCTGCTCCAGCGTGGGGTCCCTCCCATGGGCTGCAATCCTTCACTAACTGCTCCGGCTCTCCACGGGCACAGTTCCTTCAGCAAATACCTACCTGCACCACTGTGGTCTTCTCCAGGGGCTGCAGGGGAATCTCTCCTCCAGCACCTGGAGTACCTCCTCCCCCTTCTTGTCCGACCTTGGTGTCATCGTTGTCTCTCTCACATCATCCTCACTCCTCTCTCACACACTCTGCTGTGTGGCGTTTTTTACCCTTTCTTAAATACACTTTCCCAAAGGTACCATCCTGCAGTGGGTCCACTGGAGCCAGCTGTGTCCTACACAGGGCAGCCCTGGCCTCTCCCCACAGAGGCCGCCTTGCAGCACCCCCTGCCAGTACCTGCTCCCAGGATAGAGGTACACTCAAGACAATATAGCCTTCAGAAGAACATCATGGGAACTTTTACTGTTGACTACTCCAGAGTAAAAGCGCATACAGCTCAGGTAATAAATTTCATACATATGCTCTTAAGCTCGTTTTACAACTAGCATTCAGATTTTGATTACATCATGTATCACAGTTCATAGCTTGGCAGTTGCTTTGAGTTCTGTTTTCAACATTCAGAGATCAAATCTTAAAACAGGTGCAAGCAAAATCATGTACAGATCTGTGTATGCTCAACAGACAAAACTTTACAGACTATTAGAGAATCATCTTCCTTCCTATTTTGAGTAATTAAGAAGCTTACCAAGACTAACTTCCAACACTTCAAAAACAGTTTTTGTTTATTTCCTACAATTCCTTTGCTAGCTTGCTGCCTGGCACTGTAAGAACATGTGCCTTACTTCCAGCTTGGGCTCTCATACATTAGTCCCTGTTGCGCTTTTTCAGAATATAACTTCACAAGGAGAAAATACCAGTGGTTTTGGTATGTCTATGCTGTAGTTGAAAATATTTTTAATATGTAGAAGAGAGCAAGCGTTAACTCTCTCATTGGAAAGCATTCTGTCTAGCTCACTCTTACTTTAAAAGAAATGCACTATACTATTCCAGGATTAGGCTGTGCAAGTGGCTCCAATCACATTCTTCCTAGTATTTGCGAAATTTTTGTAATAAATATATTGCAGTATTCTTTAGTAATCTAATGACAGAAAATTGAGTAAAGCATTCACAATTATGACAATATTAGGTAAACATATGGCATTTCAAAGAGAAATAAAATAGGCTTGTAACATCTAACTTACATCAATTGCAAAAGAGGAAAAGACCAATTATAAAATTGCACTAACTTCATTCATATTGCTCTACTTTTGTTATACTTCCACTATACTTACCATCTTGAAAATTAATTGAAAAAGTATACCCACCCCTTGAATACTTAGTGCACCAGAACCTTCTCAGATCACAGCCTGATTTAGCAAATCTACATCCTTTTTCTCTCATTAGAAGAAACATAGCACTTGAAGTAGCTAAAGCCTTAAAACTCAGATTATCAGCCTTTGAAGCAAGTGCATATTGATAGCCATGAGTATTTCCGACATCTTACATAAAAAGCATAACAATAACTACAAAAACTCTGCAATTAATGCAGAAAACCATTAAAGTCATACCTCCACTCCACATCCAGGTCTTCACTCACACTGGAGTCATCCTCAAGGTTGTTATTTCCATCCAACAGGAAGAATCCAGGATGCACAAAATCACTAACTGGATCATTTTCCTCATCACTGCTACTTTCTACTACTTCCCGGTACTGTAACCAAGGAATCTCGCCTTCCTCCAATAATGTCTGTTCCCTTCAAATAAATAAATGAAAAGCTAAAACTAAAAATCTAGGAGAATTTACAAACACATGCAAGCAACAAAAGCTACACATATTACAAGGGCTGCAGCTGCATGTTTCCCAGACTGCAGAGTCCCAGATTAGGAATTAATTATTTGCTGTAAAAAACAAGAGACTCCCAGTGGTATCAGCTCCAGACTCAGAATCTAGTAACACCCATGATTCTGTGGCAAAATTATTTGTCTAATGCTCAAGGCCAGCAGTACAGTAAGTAGCTTGCTTTGCATTTTCCCTAGTATAGGTAGTATCCCTGCCAGAGCTAGTAAATTTGGTACTAAAGATTTTCTTATTCATCTAGAAGGTCCCAAAGCCACTAAAAAGACAGGCTTTCTTGACACCCTGCAACAGCCTCCATGGGGAAACTTGGTCTGAATGCAAAGAGATGTTATTTGCAAGAGATGCTATTTGCATAAGGAGAAAGGTTCCTCTCATTCCTGGATTTTCTAGAGGAGCACAAGTCACCTGAATGTTTACAGCCACAGGGCTGTGAGTCCCACTTCCCTTATCAAAGCGCAAATAAACAGGAATCATGTTAGAAATGGGTGTATCTGCAGGCTGTTCACATCAAAGAAAGCTAAAGAGTACACAGCTCCATTGCTGTTGTTGTTCTGAAACAGATGAGTTTTCATAATGTTTTCATAAAGCCACACTAATTCGCCAAACCTCAAGAGACAGCAATACTAAAAAAGCAGTAACATAGATTTGGACTGCTTGGTAATAGGTACTGTCTACCTAAGAGAGGAAGAAGCTGAAGGAACACTCAGGCATGGCTTATTGCTTTATAAAGACCCAAACTAAGAATATAAAGTCAATATTAGATGCTTAGGAAAAAAAAAACAAACCAAACTTTCCTTGGCTATTTATAGCTACAAATTTTGCCTTGCAACAAAGGCAGATGCATTTTATAAAGTAAAGTACTGAATGACTGGAAAAATAAGTACGTTCTCAGCAAGCAAGTAGTTGAAGTTTACTTTACTCACTGATAGGGCTACAGAAATAAAGAGCAGCAGTGGAATGAGAAGCAATAAAACAAAGACATAAACAACTGCTTTGCAAGGAGTACTAAGCAATATCAGAAGATGTATATGTAACATACACATCTTTACAATTAACTTGCCTAATCTAGGTTTTTAAAGTCGGTATATCCAGCCTATTATCCTTATTGACACTACATGTCAATGCCCTCTCATTATTTCTGTATCTTTCATAAAAGAGAATTGGTTGCATGACATGCCATTTTTTCCCCCTATTTGAAATACATACAACTACACAGATTATGTTGATGTAGACAAATGATTATTGCTAGTATAGTAACTATTTTTAGAATTGATATTATTCTGTGTAGTCTCATGTGGATACCATGTTACTGCTGATATCAGAACTTACAAGAAGTTAGCTAATAAAATAAAACCATACCCTCCTTGGAAACAGAACTCTGCGTTCTCCTCTTCTAAATCACTGCTGCTGCTCTGCACTTCAGGCTCACGTCCATCCCTGCCCGGGACAGTCTCCCAGCTCTCATCACTTGAGGACTGGTCTTTTTCTGTAGCAGTAAAATAAGTAGGCACAGCTGTAGACCATTCTCCATCACTGCATTCTGAGCTGCAATTTAAACAAGGCAACAGGGTGTGAATTTAAACACTATTTTAGAGGAAAGAAAATAAACACAAACATTCTGTGACTTCCAATTTTTGTATGAACATTGCTCTCAATATAGACTATCTTTTCTAGGAGAAATTAAGTTTGTACTATTTATAGACATATTATAAGGCAAGTATACATAAAGAGCTGATTAAAAAAAATCAGTTCCTGAGAAAGAATTCTGCCCATCCTACTTTGCAAAAAGGTTTTGTTTTTCCTCCTCTACACTTGCAGAGTACATAGAACAACTCAGGAATATACGCCCAGACCCACTATACACACAGAGAAAACAGCAACAGCGACACTGAGAACACCAATGCCTCCTTAACAAACAATACACAATGTCGGCCTTATTTCTCAGCCAAACAAAATTTAAAGTAAAAGCAACCTCCAAGCCATATACAATGTTTTTTTTTTTTTTTAATCATACAAAGATACAATGGATGACTTACAGCAAATTATATAATTCAATAGCCCAAACAGATGAACGGCAGGGAGTTTTTCAAAGAGAATTTGCTCAGCCACCACACAGAAAAGGGCATTAAATAACAAGTTGTGAGCAGCTTAAGCAAAATAGTGATATTAGCAGAATCTCAAGAAGGATGAACCCTTATCTACTGCTACCTTTGGTAATGCCACTTAGAAGGTTTACTCAATACTTACAGAGACAGTTGACACATACCAAAATTCAAAGTATAGTCAACTAGCTATGTCACTTCAAAAAGTTACAAAAAACTAATAAATATGTGAACAGCAAACATGCTTAATAGATTACATCTTACACAGCAATCCACAACACCTCAGCTCAGAGTTTTCAATCTGCTAAACCCAGTATGTTTATGTGTATCAATTTTATCTCCCCACCTACAAACTCACTTTAAAGAAACCCTCCCTCAATATAGCATTACAAGCACATGCCAATAAAACTTGCTATTTAATGAATTACAAGTACTTTTGAAAAACTGCACATTATACACTGCAAGTTTTACAAGAATACAGAAGATCAAGACATAGATTATATGGAAGCATTTTAATTTGAAGCAGGAACATATTTTTCTACCACAATTTTGAGGACTAGGAAAAGTCATGGAAATGAGAATATTCATTAACTTTGGGCTATTTTAAAAGACTACTTTACAATAGAAAACGTATCTGTTAAGAAATTCTGATATGCAGTCTAATGCATCTTATATTATACCAACTAAAGGTGAATACTAACGTTTTAGAACCTTGTTGTTTTGTTTGTTTTAAAAAGGTTAATTAAGCATACTGTAAAACTAGCCCAAATATTCAAGTCTCTTATTTCAGTTTTCTCTATTTCACAATCCAGGAATGATTTCCGATACAGTTTATAATAATATCCTCATGCTGTTAGTCAATTTTGTTCTCTTTAAAGTTTATACTGCAGCCTATCAGTACTTAAAGGGGGCTTGTAAGAATGGGGACAAACTTTTTAGCAGGGCCTGTTGTGACAGAACAGCGGGTAATGGTTTTAAACTTAAAGAGGGTAGATTTAGACTAGATACAGGGAAGAAATTTTTTACAATGAGGGTGGTGAAACACTGGCACAGGTTGCCCAGAGAGGTGGTAGATGCCCCATCCCTGGAAACACTCAAGGTCAGGCTGGACAGGGCTCTGAGCAATCTGATCTAGTCGAAGCTGTCCCTGCCCACAGCAGGGGGGTTGGACTAGATGACCTGTAAAAGTCCCTTCCAACCCAAACTATTCCATGATTCTATGATTCTATACACAAACACTAATTCAAACCAGAAAAGAGGATATGCCTAAAGTCATTAATACTGAACAAAGGAAGAACATTTATTTCAAAACTTAGCATTTAACTGTGTCCAACTTTACAGAGAAGCAGAACATCACTTAATGGTTAGAGAGTTATAGACCTGTCACCTGCCAAAAGCATAACACATTAACTTAGCATCTGCACACGGATTTTCTGAGAATAGTCTCTCCCGTGGCTAAAATGGCCTGTACTTGCCATATGATCCAAAACTAAACAGAGGGAGCTAAAGGATATGATCGTCATCTCACCACCCCTGCCCTCCAGTGACCTACCATGACCCTTCCAACTTAGAGCATATATGGTTCTAACAAATATGCAAGACTCTCCTTCTCACACAGCTTCTACATGCTAACACCATAATAGCTGGGCACTTCCTTGAAGCAAAAATGTGAGGTGAAGGCCCAGGCTGCAGCAATCAGCAAAGTGAATTTCTCCCTGGGTTGGAAAGAAGTGAAAGTTGAGTCACAGGATGTAGTTGGACACATACGTCAATTCTGCTTTTTATGCAGCTATATATGTATATTTAAACATGTAATATGGATTAACCCTTTAAACATAAAACTTTACCTTTTGAGGTGAAAACACATTACTCCTTTGTATAAAGTAATCATTGACAAAGTACTTCATAAGGATAAGTCTTTTGAGGGTTTAGGACACAAATTATGTTTTTTTTAAGTTAAAGAACACATATGCTTCCTGTTTAGGTTCGGTTATTGCCATCATATGAACATAGTCACTTGCAGATATGCAATCTGTATTTCTTTTTGTCATGCTACAACAATCTACCACCTTGCATCATGGAAGCCAGTGTATAATTGTAAAATACAGTCCATTTCCATTAATCTTCTAGTAGCTGCATTTCAGAAGTTGAAAAGAAAAGATTATGCAGTAACAAAAATTTTCGAAAATTAAGCCTTACAAGGAAGTAAAGGATTCATTTGCAAGTCCACCTATATCTTTAATAAGGAAAAACAAAATTAGGTCTGAGTTAGAGAATGGGTCTACTAACCCATTTTACAATGCCTTAAGGATTTTGTTCTCTCATGATTGGGAGTCTACAATATTTTAAGGACAAGAATTTATGCAGATTGATTTTCATGCTGTTCTCTCCACAAAAGCAGTGGAAATACAAGCTACTAAGCAAGTTAGCTTATGAAGCCTAATGGCAAGCACACACACAAAAAAGCCTCATCAACATCCAAAAGACATGTCTTGTAAAGAATGCAGTGGGAACAGAATCAACATGATGAAAGCAAATTAGAAGAAAAATAGGAAAAAAAAAAATCCAACAAAAGCTATCACAAACACTACCACAGTTACCATAAATGAAAAGAAGGTTAGACATTTCTTTTACCCTCAAATAGCTCAGTTACATAACTCCAATTCACAGTGAAAGTTCTTAACCAGCATTATATGAGTAAAAGTTAATCAACATAAGGTTTATAAAAATTAGTCTGTCTTCTGGGTAGAGAGCCCAAAACAGGAGGTGCCTGAATACTGCTCCTGGTGTCCATTTGTAGATCTGAAACTGTATTCATTAACAGTTACTTTGGAAACACCTACTAGTCTAAAAAACTTTCATTAAAAATGGGATTATAAGCAATCTTACAAGTTATTCTTCGGATATGACAAGGAAAAATAATTTCTTTCAAAAGGTTGGAGATAAGAACATACATAGGCTGTGATGCAGAATATTGAGATTTGACGGCAAAAAGAATGAATTCTGAAAATAACAGGTCTTGAAGGGAACTTCAAAAGACCCATAATTTGCCAAAAGCCATGCTGAACAAGGTTTTCCCTCTCTACCCTCCATCCACTCAGTAAAAATAAAATAAAAATAAACAATCTTCCTTATTGGTAAGGCACTTTGACCTAAACATAAGGAAAGGCTTTTTACATTACCAGAAGAATGCACATTACCATTTCTTTAGATGGACTTGAGGAGCAGTGAAGGAGAACTGAAAGGAAAAGTTGGCATCTTGTTATCTGATCATACTCTGAAATCACTTGCGTTTTTATGTCCCATTTGCTAACAAATTATACAGATTTGCACATTATTTATGGAAGAGATTCAATACTAATACAGATATAAAAATGAAATTTTACCTGTCTTCATCTTCGTGGGACATTGAGAAGTGTCTGCTGCAATCTTCAAACTCATCCCAAAAAGTGCTATTATCTAGCACACTTTTTTGTTCTTGAGCTGCTGCATTTCTCCTTAGGTCTATTTCTGTGTTCTTTCGATGACCTTCGTACTCTCTTGAGTCAAAGAACACACTAGAACTCATCTCTTCTTTGCTATTTCTCAAGGCACACTCAGCATGGCCTTGCTGGACTTCAGCAATTTCAGTTTTCCTCCAGGAACCACCTTCCTTTTCATCATGATTAGAGAGAAGCTTTTCTCTCTCCAACTGGTTTGCAGTATTTTGTTTTCTTATTTTAGGTCTCACTACTAGCTCAGGTGAATTTCCTTGGTCAGTCTTTCCATCACTGACATTCAATTCATTAGCAATTGCTATAGGGGTTCTGATTCCAATATCCACTATATTTTTTATCTGCTGTGCTTCACAATTGGCACCACTTGGGTTACTTTTCAGTATAGCTTGATCTTCAGCAGATTTAAATGTCCTGTTTGGACATGCCAAGTCTGAATCTGTGCTAAAACATCTCATTAAAGGCATTCGTCCTGCTTCTTCACAACATTCTCTAGAAACACTGTGGTTGAGAGCGGACAATCGGGACTGTAAGTCAGTAAAAGACTCTACGCCTTTTTCTAACTCAGAAAGCATGTTATCTAGTGTTTCCTGAAATACACCTGCTTCTTCTCTTGCCAAAGAAAATTTGTCTTGAGCATCACCTTCCTCTCCATCACTGCTATCTGGCTCATAAGAGTCAATGTTTACAAAAGCAATTCCATTCTGACCACTCAAATCATTACGCCCTCCAGACGCATCCTCTGCAAGGTCCTCAGAATTTTCATAAGGATTCATAAAGTTCCCTGAGATTTTGTTGCCTTCCAGACCGTAAGAGAATAGAGAAAATGGTGACGTATTCGCTTCAAAAGTTTGGCTCAATACACTTTGGTAAACAGGTTCTCCAGTTGCAATATTTTCTAACGAAGGCTCATCCAATAAACCAGAAGAAACTTGAACCAATGGACTGGAACCTTCACAGAAAGTTGTAAGAAAGAATGCATTGGAATAATCAAAACCAATAGAAATATTCTCATCTACAACAACTGCTCATGGAAAAAAAAAAAGGATAGTTCACTAGGACTGCAGTGTAATTTGATAAAGAGAAATATTTACCAGGGATGTAGTCATTCTTCACTAATATATTTAAATTCTCATTTATATAAACTAAGCATATATAGAAATAGACTTAAATGATACAATTTCAGCTCGGCCGTGACAGCAGAAAAACAAGTATTAAAGGAACAGGTTCATAAGCAGCATTTTTACATTGTTTATATAAAAGGGAATTTTAAGATGAGCACAGGAAATCTGAAAAAACACTAGAAGATTAAAAAAGCTGCAACACTTCTTTCCATAAAAATCAGACTATCCATTCATTAACTGGCTAAATTGTGCCTCCTGCCACACTCAGATAAAGCCATTTATTGCTACTATAAATTACATACTAATAGCTCTATATTTTGTGCATGCAGTTGTGAGTGCAACTCCTCATAAGAAGAAAGTAATAGCAGGGATGAATGTAGAATTACAGTTAGTAGTTACCACCATCGCAAATTCAGTTTGGTTATATTACACTTGAACACCTCTTGCATAAAGGGCCAATAAATATAAAAGTCAGCAGCAAGAGTTAAAGTAAAAACACGTATACTGCTGCTACTACAAAATTAATGCTTAGTTCAAGTCATTTGTAAACTCCTAACCAAGGCAATAGTCCAAACTATTTTTGAACATAAAATGGCTTGCATAACTTGACGACAGTACTTAAAGTTTTTAAATCAATATTAAGAGATTTGGAAACTTAACTACAAGACAAAAAAAAAAAAAAGATACTTGCATGGTTAATTGCAGGGATTTCCTAGCATGTTATTTTAAAAACAGGTAGAGATAGGAAACCATGCAAAATCACTGTTCCAGGGTTAAAAAACTTACAAAAAAAGAATCTCCTATAAATAGCTAATCCATGCCTAGGTTGGTGAATCCATGGCACTGAACTCTTATGAGAGCTGTGTCTCTCAGCGCTAGGAGTCTGGCTTGCAGAAAGCAATATCGTGACATTACGTTTGACCTAATTAAAATCTTGACGCTCCTTCACAAAATTGCTAACAGCTGAGGTTGGCAGGCAGGCCCCCCTGGTTACCATCCAGTCCACCCCTCTTGCTCAAGCAGAGTCACCTATAGTAGGTTACCAAGGACCAAGTCCAGTCAGATTTTAATATTTCCAAGGATACCTCCTTCTACCCATCTTCCACAGTTGCTTACATGTATATAAGATGTCAAGCCAATTAGCAAGGAAATATGCAGCATACTTTAGGTAGTACCCACCCATCAAAAAAAAAGTATCTGCTGGGGAAAAATGTAACCTAATTGAGGTAAGGGAAATAAATCAATCCAAAACATTTCTCAAAGAGAAATCTGAAAAGCCGTAATACAAAAAACCCAAATATAAAAAAGGAAAGGCATTTTGGTTTTAGACTTAATACAGAAAACGAGTCACTCTTAGAATTTATATACAAAGCAATTGTATAAAGAACAAGGAGGTAATACACTCCAAACTGCGTATTTCTTATGACCCCTGAAATAATAGCATGCCCATTTCTGAGTAACTGAAACAAGAAAGGTGGTAGCATTATAGAGAGAAGTAGGAAGATCTCCACAAGTGTCAACACTGCCTTACAGGAAATAAACCTTTAACTAGATGAAAGTGTAGAAAATGTATGAAGCACAGACAACTCCAAAAACACTCAAGTTACAAAAAAATAAAGCTACCCCAAGATGATATACATGACGTAACAGTCTCCAAGAACAACAGCATATGACAAAGTTAAATTAATACTATGCTATCATAAAAAAAGACAATTAGAAGGAGAAAGCAGTTACAAAATAGCCTATAAAGGAAGGAGAAAAAACGCTACTTTGGAAGATCTGAGGCTACATCAAACTTTTTTAGCAGAAAGCCTCATACACTCAAGGAGATGGGACTGTTTCTAATCCAACAAGCCATTTTGTATTTCTCTATGAAATGATTATTCAGATGCTAAAGTCACAAAAGACATTTGGGAAATATTAACATTCAATATTTTGTAAACAAGAAAGGGAAGTGGTCTGACTGGTATAAACAAATAAAAAGAGAACCTTTAAAGATGTTTTGTAGGCTTAAACTAATTTCCACTCTAACTACACTAAGGCCTGACAAAGACAGAACAACCTGGCCCATGATACATCAAATATTTCACAGCCTAGTTCCAAACAGAAGGTTAGAATAGGTATTCTCTTCCAAATGTGATTTGTAATTTGATTTGAAGACAAAATAATTTGAATTATACAACGTTATGGCTATCTGTGTTTGTTAGAATGCATTAACTCATTCAGGAATGTACTTCTTCAGGCAAAATTAAACAGACTAAGATAGACCATACTGTAATTTGCCTTCATGCTAAGTTTCATTCTATGAAGACATATGAAATGTACTTTTCATGTGTTATTTAAGTGCCTACTCTCTTCCCTTTACATTTCTCTATGTGCCTTCCCCCTCCACCCCCATGCATCCCAGTTTGGATTTAAATGGCACATACACAAAGATATGCACATACATAAAGAATTATCTTTCTCAGCATCCTCCAATTCCATTCGTTCACAGTCTTCATTGTGTTGATGTTCATCTCTGCCTTGGCTATTCAAAGATGGTCTAAAACCAACATAGGCATGTCTTCTTCCATATCTTCTACCTGTAATAGTTTGATATCCTCCTGCTGGTTTGGGCCAGGCAGGTTTGCCAGCTTCTTGCCCCATTGCTATATGAGATTATGGAGGAAAGAAAAAGACAGAGAGACTGCATTAGACAACAGTAAGTCTTTATAATTTCCCTCTTCCCTAACACTTTGATATAATTTTTTTAGCAAGGAATTTCCCATTCCTCTGAAGTCTGGAGCTTCGCTAACAGTACAATTACTAAGAAGCTGAAGTGCTCTGGGCATATATATTATGAAAGCACATAACGGAATTTTCATCTACACTAAATAATATTGACAATTTCCTATCTTGCCCCCATCTTAACATGTTTGTAGTAAATAACAGAGACTTTATAAAAAAAATTTTAAAAAATCAAGTCCAGATGTCACATGACTTTTTTTTTTGAATGGGACACACTTCTGCACATAGCTCTGACACAACACATATGTCAGTTTGCAGAAAACATTTGCAAGCACTATAATGGAAAAGCCTTCAGGTAATGCAGCACAATTTAGCCAGCCATAGCTAGCTTACTTCTGTGACAGGAAAAGTACAATTAATCAAATCACACCTTCTAAAACAAAAGTCTCAAGTCCCAGGGAGAAGGCTTTATTCTTTACACTAGGTAGTATGTTCAGGCATGGCCATACAAGGCAATTGCCCACACATGGCTCCTATTATTATAGCAGTATTCCATATTAATGGATCTTAATGTTTTTACCAAGAAAACATGGGATAAGTAGTACAAGGAAACTTGAAAAACAGTGGGGGAAAGCTGCCAATATTGTAATGAAGAGAGATTTTAACACAGCAGTAGTATCAGCTATTAATAATCTAACACAAGAATTCATGTCCAAAGGCTGTTGCTTGTACAAATGCAATTAGAAGTTCAGTATTTTAGATGTTCAGTGGCTTTTTTATGTCCTTCTAAGTCACTTTTAATCTTTACTAGATATGAAATTAACATAATAGCTTTTCTGTTCTTGAAACTCACTAAACTGAAAAGGAGACATTAAAGTCCAGGAAGATAAAGTTTGCAACCATTAACACAAAGTTTTTTGAACTTCAGAAAAATAAGAAACCTTTCTTCTTTCCTGGCTGTTAAACTGATTTCTTCACTACCCTTAAAAAGAGAGTATCTATATGCAAAACCACCATTTATTAGAGTCATTTTATGCAGCTTCGAGTGCTATAGTCACCAGTAAGGCTGACAGTTGCAGTATGTGGACTGCCCTGCCTAAAAGATACAACTGCACACATGTACCAACTGTCAAAGAGTCCAAGCAGGTTTTTTTTCTTTGTTTTTTAAACTAGCATCACTGTTGAAGCTATCATTTTGCTAGGACTGACATACAGGAAATTAACTCTGTTGCTGCTTATCTACATAAGGGAAAAAAATTATGTATTCTTCTTGGGGCTGTACTCTCAGAAATCACATGATCCCTTAAAAGATTTAATGAAGAAGCAAATAGAAGAAAGCTACCTATTGTAAACTACAACTTCTAGAAGAAGCTAGTCTTAAGAGGTTCAGACACACAACATCCTACAAGAATTTGGTCTACAATTGCCAGCATGGCAATTATGAAAACATTTCCTAGCTATCTGCACTTCAGTCAGATTTCTGTGGAAAAAATCCAAATACTTTCTGCCTGATCTTCCCCACAGGAAAAAAAAAAAAAAAGAAACACAAAACAGAAACAGGAGTAGTGTGATGATGGTGGAAGATAACGAAGGCCTCAGAAAAAATGCAAGTTCCAGGAAAAGAAAACCAAAAACAATCACTTTCTCTTTCAGCCTGACATGGGAAAAAATTAAGGTTGGAGTAAACCAAACAAAATTACACTCACAACAGAACACCTGCCACAAGAGTCTAAAATATTACTGTTTAATTCCCAGGTGAATTGACAGCAACAGTGAAGATACTTGCAGTGCTTAAAATTAAAAGGCAAGTATTTACAGTTCAATTGCTTAAAATTGCAACATTTAAGCAAATTATAATATGAGGAGTCTTTCATCTAATATTGTCAGCTTCACTTTTTGTTATCTTTAGCCAATTCTAAGAAACCATTTGCTACAAAAATGTTGTGCTATAACTCACCACGTTGTATCTATGGCTCTAAATCTCCCTTAAAACATGTAATGCTAGTCATGTCTTCTTTCCACTCTTCTTGTCACACATTAATCCTCTCCAAACAGCCCAGTTCTATGAACACTGCAGAAGTCCAAACATGTCCATCACTAGCTGCAATATGGTGATACTGCTTATTTCCACAGACCCGGGATAAACTCAGTTGAACCTTTGCAGAAAAAATTAGCAGGTATCAGAGGCTTTTTTCTCATTTATCTATGAAGCTCTTTGTAGTTTGATTACATATAATTTCCCTTGAAAATATTTCCAGGTATTTGTCCAAGCCTGCCCATCCTGCATTAAACAACAGAAGCTAAAATGGTCAATTCATTAATAACTATACTACTCCTGTAATCCTTAGAAAGGTGAAAACTCTCTACCATCTTTGCCAAAAAAAGTCTCTCCAACTAATGCAAGAAAAAGGGGACTCACAACTATTTTTCTTAGTAAGGATATTAACTGGCTGACTAATTAAGTCAACCAGCAAGTCATGTTTATTCAAGCAAGCTCTGACAATTCTTAAATTTCCCCTGATCATAACATGGCTGGTTAGCAGACTGCCAGAGGGAGCTGACAACAAGCAGCCACATCTGAACTTGCACAGCAGAATCCAACAGTTAGTTTAGTACATCAGCACAGCAACAGAAGAATCTGCCCTCAAACATGGTAATACAAGCGGTTGAAACAAAAAAGGTAAAAATACAACGTAACTGCCTAATTCTTAATTTTAGTTTGTTCTCTAAAACACCAGTATTGTTCAAAACCAGATGTCCACTCAAGAGAGTCAAACTCTCTGAATGCAAATGTTTTATTTTTTTAAATTGATGTTCACAGCATGCAGAATCTTTAAAGCTGCGTGCAATGCACTACATTTTTTCCGTTCCAAATAATTCTCTCACATACAGAGTATCTCATCTTGTATTCAATTGTTCTTAAAAGATACAGTTATTCTTCTGCCTGGGAAAGATTTATTGGATCAATATAGCGAAAGCTTTCACTGAAAGTTTGCATGTCACATTTGGTTTACAGGAGAGGTTAACTTCTACCTAGATACAAAATATCTCAAAATAAGAGAAGGAGCCATGCACTTATTTACCTACATGCCTAGAATGAGCAGCATTTAGGCATCTGAATCCAGAGACCAATTTCGAAGAAACCTTTCAGGCAATCAAGTTCCTGAGACACGTAATACCCTCTCTCAGGTCCTTCTTCTAGACTAACCCAACCCTAAAAATAGATATTGCTATATCTTCTTTCAGAAGCTCATACCCAGTACCTGCTGACAAGACACAGTTCTGCAAAACTGACCAGTCTTAGAGATGCAATAGACCAGTGACTAAATAATCAAGCTAGGGGAAACAGGCTATTTATTAACTTCTCAGGCTAAAGATGTTTATACACACACCTCCATCCTTTCAAAAGGGTACTACAGTCACCTGAATTCCTCAAAGGATCAAAGCAGCTGTCATAAAGCAGAAAAGCATTTTAGATTAACAGAGCTGGATTAAAAAAAAAAAGCAGAGGAGACTCTCCTAAAACACACAGTGCACAAACAGGTAGGTCCAGCCCTTCCTTGCCTTAATCACCAACTCAGAGCAGCATACTTACTCTTTACTTCTACAAATACTGCAATAAGAGTCAGCAAACTACAGGCTGCAACATAGAAAGCCTGAAAATCTAGACCCAATCCATCTGACTTGCACAACCAACTCCTCCTCTGCCACAAAAAAAACACTGTTTTTCCAGAAGTAACACAATGTTGAAGGTTAACTGTAGATGTACGCATACATGTGTTCACAACCTAGCACCATAACTTGAGCATTCAGAAACTGTCCATCCCCTTGACCGCAATCCTCTGTATAAATTTCAAATCATTCTAATTTACAGAGCCAGATTTACGACCACTGGAGTCTCCTGCTCAGTTACATGCTGAGTTCTCCGACAGCATCCCAGTCCTCGCCCACTGAAACCCAGATGCCCCTTTATTCTCCTCTCCATTACCTTTCCTTCTCCCCTATCCTCTTGACTCCTTCACACCCTACACACTGGAAGAAAAGAGAAGCAGCTTTCTGGGATCAAGGAGTGCATGACCTAGATCTCTAACACTACTCAAACAAATCGCCATCACCCGTGCAGATGTAAGAAAGACACCAATTGTTGCACACACGTAAGTCCTGAACAGGGTGATGTTGACTGCCACAGAGGCAGGCAGGCAGGCTGGTCTTATTTGTGATTCCCAGAACTGCTGTGACCTACCTGGACAGCACCACTTTATTGGAGCAGAGTCTAATCCATAGAAGCAACAGTAAAAAAATTACATAAATTAAAGAAATTGCAGTTTATCTAAAGCAGTTCTGAACGTCTGAACAAAATCTTGCCTTTTTTCCAAGAGCTGAAATACTGAAAAACCTTCCCTCACATACCTAGCAATTTTTGTAGTTCAAGGAGAAGGCAACTCAAGGAGTGGAGTTTTGTAACTTCCACCGAAAAAAAATATATCCCATAACCCTAAAAACTTCACAAGGACATTTTCAGTTAAGTATTCCATCAAATTTACTTGGATCTTGTTTTCACCCTATTATGTCCAATTTTATTGCCTTGGTATTATTCATTCACACATAGAGTGACCTCTTAGGCCTATTATATACCTCACAGAGGGAAAACAAAATTAGGAGTCTGTGGCATGGGGGGGAGCGGGAAGCGGGGAAAGCAGTCCCAAGTGTTTTTCATCTCAAAAAGGGGAAGGGGGGTCATAATTCTCTGCTGCACAAGATATTTAACTAGCTTTTTTTTTTTTTAAAGACACATAAAGTGAGCTTCAAATATCACTCCAAGAAGTATTTTTTTCAACCTTTTAATAACTCGTAACTTTTTCCACTCTTCCTCAGATGTTTCCCAGCATTCTTAGAAAACTTGTATGCATATTCTAGTC